ATGACTTTTAATTAAATAAAAACCGCTGTCCCAAGGCCTGTGCAGAAAACACGCCTGTGGTTTCTGACTCACCTGTTGAGGTCTGCAGACAAAGCAGATGATAAACATCTCCTCAGCTGCTCCTTGTATTTGCGCTCTTTGGCTTGAAATTCTCTTGCAGATTCAGTGTTGATCATGGCTTTCTAAATTCTTTAAAAGAGAAACGAGAAACGAGAAAAAAAACTAATCAGTTTTTATTATTTAAGAAGAGGACAAGGTTGCAAAATATGGTAGGGTGACCTCATAGTTTGGAAAAACAAAAAAGAAAAGAAGTAATCAACCGACAATAATTACATCCCGGTTGATCTATTAATCTCATTAAGCTCCATTATTATAATAATAAACAATGACTAGTTTAACATGGTTATTTCAGCAGGATGTTTGGGATTGTGGGTCAACTTTCCAGGTTGCAGTACCACCTTTCGCCAAACTGACCGGAGAGGCGCTATTTTACAAAGCTGAAGGAAATCAATAACAATAGAAAAAAGCAACTGCAAACCTAAAATTTATATAAAAACGATAAAACAATAATACACCGCTCACATTTTTTATGTTAATTATGGTGAACGTTATTTGAAAAAAAAAATTAAAAGCGTTTCCCATCAGCAGTTTAAACACATATTGTATATATCTTGTATATATATATATATAAAAAAGAAAATAAAACTTTCACAAATTACAACCAAATTACCGGAACATATCTGAGCTGTCAGAGGGTTTCTGTTCTGTCTCTGTTAGCTTCCGTCTCTGCTTCATGCAAAACACTGAACATCATCCTCCTTCCAATGCTGGGAGGCTAGCTAAGGGAGCTAGCTGAGACTAGCATCCTTTCCCCCTTTAAAAGGCTGACCGTGAGCTCCGAGGAGTTCGTGATGAAACCGGAACAGAATAAATAATCTTCCGGCTTTTGTACGTTTTGGTAGCATTTGAATAAATGCATAAAACGACATTACAGAGGTGCTGACCCACTGACCGATGGTGTTGACATCACCGCTGCACGCTGCTCACCGCGCACGGGACACGGTTTGACAAACAGCCAAGGAGCGGACGAGTCAGGAAGCTTCCGGACATGCGCAGTGCTGCGCCTGCTCGCCTTCATCTGTAACCTGTGGTAGTGAGTGAATTTTTTTATTCCAACCATCTTATCTCGCGTTAAATAGAAGGAAAAAAAAAGATTTGACTCCTGTATTGTATTTTTTTTATTTATTTTTTTTTTCTTTTAATTTTTGTATTTTGTTTCCATTTCCGTTTCGTTAAAAAAAAAAAAGAAAAAAAAATGGCAAAAGGCACAAATAATTATTTTATCTTCATGTTATTTTGATACATTTAGTGTAATCGTATCTAAGATAATTTATCAAAAAAAAAAACATTTGTTTTGTTTTCCTTTTTCACCATATCCTGTCCTCGAGGTGACCTCAGGCTTACTGGTGACGTCATCGTCTCGTCCCGTATTGTTGCTCTCGTCCTATTTGTCAACCCAAATGCCCGATGCAAGGATATAAACATCTATTTTAATGCAGACATCAACAGGATCCAGAGGTTTAATATGAATTTATTAGAACAAAACAA